TTCAACTCATATGCCTGTCTTTTATTTGGCTGGAAGCCACAGGTGTGGGTTCAATTCCAGACCTAACGGGCAGCTAGGGGCCATAGTCTCAGTGGTTCCACGAGGCTGTATCAGACCAGCAAACCTGGTGACCTGTGGGTATTTTAAATACTATGCGTATCTGACCCAGGAGCTCTGATGTCAATATATACCCATTGGCACAAGCATGTTGTAGATAATAAATAAATATTTGTTGATTAATTTTCTATTGGTTCTGGCACGGGTTGGGGGGTAGGGTGGGAGAGGACCCAGATTTTTCATAAAGTAAAATAGCTTTTCAAGACAGCAACTCACATTTAGAGATTGTCAGATCTGGACCCATAATCAGTTCATTGCTGGCAGACTCCAGTCACGATCCTCACTTGGTGACTTAGGCAGGAGTTTGAACACAGTCTGTGGCCTTACTGACTAGAGTTGATCAGGGTAATAGTTGCTAAATTGGCAATAGGTAGAAGTGCAAGGATTCTTGGGGATTTGGGAAGGCTAGTGGGCAACAGGGAGCTTTGGTAGCATATTGCCTAAGGCACTTGACTGCTAACCAGAAGGCTGGCGGTTCAAACCCATCAGCCACTCCTTGGAAGGAAGATGGGGCAATCTACTTCCGTAGTGATACTGCCTCGGAAACCCAAGGAGGGGTCACTATGAGTCGGACCTCCGACTCGACGGCACATAACAACATAACGAGTGGGCAACAGTCATGCCAACAGAAGAAATAGAAAGTTGTAATTTCATTGGTTCTCCAACCCAGGTTATTAATTGCCTTGGAATTGTTTCTGACCCATGGCAACCCCATGTGTGCAGAGCAGAACTGTAGGGTTTTCAAGGCTGTGACCTGTCAGAAGCAGGATACTAGGTCTGTCTGCTGAGGTTCTGCTGGGTTGGTTTGAATCTCCATTTCAGCAAGTGGTCAAATGCTTAACTGTACAACCCAGGAACCTTCCAACACAGTGCATAGAGTGTAATTTGCATTCTGTAGCTTTTTGTTGACTGAAGAAATGACTGGCTTTTTGGGAAAAGGAGTATAGACTGTGAAATAATATGCTTCCTACTCATCCTTTAGCATTGGGCTAAGATGTTGTCTATTCTGTGAACTGTGGCTGGTAAAAGTTGAGTGACTCTTGTATGCTAAAGCATTGATGAGATTGTCAAATCTGATATCAGGCAAATCTGTAAATTGTCCTATCTGATCATGAGCTCCTAAGGGCAGAACTGTATTGTTGTTGTTTTTTCTTTTTTAAATGTGCCCAGCACAGGCAGTTGCTAATACTGCTTCAATTATGGGTTCTGTATTCTTTTATTTCATTTTTTTAGGCTTCTTTTTATTCCAGTCTTTTCAGTTCAGATCAGCAAACATTTATTGAGTGTCTTCTGAGAGGTAGGTCATTCTTGGACCTTTAGGTATGGTTTCTCAACCGTGGCACTATTGATACTTTGGTCCAAATATTTCTGGTTGTTGGGGCTATTCTGTGCATGTAGGATGTTTAGCCGCATTCCTGGTCTCTACTCATTAGATACCAGTAGTATGTTGTTGTTGTTAGGTGTCATCAAGTTGATTCTGATGCATAGCGACCCTGTGCACAATAGAATGAAGCAGTGCTGAATCCTGCACCATCCTCACAGTGCTTGCTATACTTGAGCCCACTGTTGCA